AAACTACTGGGGTCAACTCCCTGTTTGTTAGCAAAATATCTCATCATGAACCACTGGACGGATTTAGGTGAAACTAAAGACCCTGTCAAACTAGACAATTTATGCCAACTTATGAACATTTTAAAGACATCTACATTGAAGATGGAATTAAAAAAATCAGCAGGAAGCTTATTTTCAGTGTGTACATAATGTAATTCAAACAGATTGATCGAATATATAACTTTTATTAGCATTTTAGACATAAAAAATGTTTCACAAGTTGGCATAAGTTGTCTAGTGTGACAGGGCCTTTAGAAATAAAGATGCAGAGCTATGACTGGTTACCATTTCGAGTTAACCCAAATAAAAATGTTCGCCATAGCTTAGACGACATTCAGTGTCTATTTTAACTCTCACAACACCGACATTACATTCAGAAAACAAAAGTGGGAATATAAACGTAAAACACACCTCATATTTTCTATAGTTGACGAGGAGGGCCAGGAGAACCACTGCATCATAACCATGCTGCCCTCTACTGGATACATCTGAAAGAATCTGAGCAGAGGAAAAAGGAGGAATAAATAAACAAACAGGGACTGATTTAAATTAATCAAAAATTTCCTGGGATTATATTTAAACTGCAGTTCTTACCTGCAGAATGGCTTCAAAGATGCTATTGATCATCACATATTCCAGTATGGTGTTCTGGCTAATATTATCTGTTACCTGTAGATGAAAATGTTTTATAAGTTCAACAAATATTCTCCAAAGCAGATAAAATTGTGATTAAAGCTGCCTTTTTTCCTGTCTTTTCCTCACCGTCACCAAGCAGAGCAACAATTTGAGGCAAAGGCTCTTAAGACTTTCTGAGCCGTCTCCACAAAGAAGGCTGTCCAGACTCTCCATCAGGTCCTACAGGAGACACAAGCAAAAAAACTATACTAATATACATACATACATACATACATACATACAGGCAGGAGGAAAATTCATTATGCTAATCTCAAGGATTGCAAATGTATATATTTTATTTATTTGTCCTAAACTGTTGGAATTAGATTTTTACAGAGAGGCTTCAACTAATCAGCTGCTGACTGAAATGGCTGATTTGAAGCTCATCTGGCCAGAGCGATRACAGGCTAATCCAACCCTTGGATCTCTTGATCACCAGCAGTGGTGTAACAATACATCGATCCACATTGATATATAGATTAAATGATTGTTGATTCMATTACTTTGAGGTAAAACAAAAACACAGATCTATATCCCCATCAGACGCCCAATAGCAAATGATACTGCCTCATATCGATCGCAGATTAATGAGTTGAATTGACAGACTTTGTGATATTGAGAAACATCGTATYATGAYTCAAATAAATGGAYTTGATCCTATTGTGATAAAGCTGCTGATTTACACGGATCGCTGCTTTTTTCTGTAGCTTGTCGAGCAGCACAATGTTTGGTTGGTTGGCTGACCTGTTGGTTAGTTTGGATCTGGAAGTCTCACTGTATTTTAGCCTCATCATTCCCCACCACCACCAGTGAAGTCTCCAACTTGTAYCTAAAGGCAAACCCTTGGTTTTGGTGTTTTCTGTACACTTTGCCTGCAATCTTACATCTCGCCATTATGTGATGAACTGTCTCAGGGTTATTTCGGGCCCTGTTTGGTGACCTCTTTTGCTCGATTAAACCAATGTCAAGCCTCACTTTATTCAGTTCTGCTCAGGTGTGTGTCTCCATGTTGGTGTGTTCCTCACTCTGTGACTGTGATTGTGAGATATCGTCAGAATGCGGCTTCAGTCATTGTGGTGAAAAAGAAAAAAGATTTTTAAAAAGCCATGTTTTTATTGTCTGATTTACATTTTTTTCAGGGCACAAAAGGCAATTCGCATTTGCACATGATAGAAGGAAGCATGTTCTCAGGTCCCAGCACAATAAAAGCAAGCAATAAAAGATAAGAATAACTAWCTAATACAGACAAAAATATACTTGTAACATGCAGGAAAAAAAAGGTGAGATTGGTGCAAGTTCATCGTCAACAAGATGGCAGCATATCTTAAAGTGATATTCAAGTCATCTATTGAAAATTCCTGTCATTTTTTCATATCATATTACATTATAATGTGTCACATGGTAAAAAAAAAATGTCATTTTTTTTACAGTATTGCACAGCCTAGTTCTTAAGGAGAAATTGGCTTGGCTAAAATTAGTGGAGTGGGTGTGGGGATTGAACAAAGCTTCACAAAACTTGGAAATCTAAACTGGTCAAGAAAACTATGATCGCTCTACCTGTAATAAACTTACATATCCCAAATTCACAATACTATGACCCTATTAATCATTTTATTTTCGGTTGTGTTTGTAGTAAACTACATCAATTTCAGTAGTTAAATCCCACATCTTCTCTTCTCCTTGCTAACACTGGGAGTTATGTTTGGTCCGTTTAATAGTTTCTYTATGGAGTCTTTTCCTACCTGCAGTTTGACAGCGATGACCACTGAGGTGAGGTCCTTGTCCAGCTCCTTCAGCATGATCAGTTTCTTCAGGGTCAGGTTGAAGAGCCTGGGAGAAGCAAAATAAAGAAAAACAAGGACACTGAAGTTAGATTCAATATCCAGAGCCCTCATGGTGCCTCGACAGGTGTTCGAACATGAGGGAAGTGATCAACGAGCCAAAACTGACTCATTTGCTCCCCCACAGAGATCAGCTCTTTGTGCAGATCGTATTTACTAGAAACTAACATCCTGTTGGATTTCTGTCCCTCCCTTCTTTTTACTCATAATATGATGAATGTTAAGGCTGTAAAATAACAAAACAAAAGTAATATTTCAATGTAAACAATACAATATATATAACAATATTTGTCAAACATTTTATTTTAGGAGATTGTAGGTTATGGCACATTTCTGTGTTAATGATAAAGTGTTATAGACGGCACTGAAACAACAGCAGTTAGAAGCCTCTATAGAACTTTTAAAGCAGAACATCAGCTAAACTTCTGTGTTTTATAAGAAAAAATAGTTCCAGGTTCCGCTTGTGGGCATTGTTCATATTTAAAAAGAGACATTTTAAAATTTTCCTTTTCATAAATATTTTCCCTGTGGTCTATACAGTGGTTCCCAACCCTGGTCCTCAAGTAACCCTATCCAGCATGTTTTACTTGTTTCCCTGCTCTTCAGCAGGTCTTCAGAAGATTGTTAATCACTCATTTGTTCAAACCATGTGTGTTAAACCAAGGAAACATCTAAAAATCACTGCTTTAAATGTTGACCAACACCTCAAGAGCTTCTCTGAGCTTGATGAGACATTTTCAAAATATAATATTGACTTAGTTTTATGGTTTTTAGTATTGCTTCTCGAAGCCATTGATTCTTTGCCATTTATTTGTAATAAATCAGACAACATGCATTAAAGCAGTGATTCTCAACCCTGGTCCTCAAGGACTCCTTTACTGCACTTTTAGATGTTTTCCTGATTTGACACACCTGGTTTGAATGAATGAGTGATTAACAATCTTCTGAAGACCTGCTGAATAGCAGGGAAACAAGTAAAACATGCTGGATGGGGTCCTTGAGGACCAGGGTTGGGTACCAAGTGAAATTGCAATGCTTTCGTTTGAAATCATTATTGTAGCTCCACAAGACACTCTTTCAACCCTATTGTAGGGCTGGGCAATATTGGCAAAAAACAAATCACAATTAATTGTG